GGTTTTGGAGGTTAGTTAGAGTGCAATAGCCTACAACGTAGCTTATTTCCCAAAACTGTGACTGCCTGCATAGCTGTCTATTCAGAAGAGGAGACTGTTTTGGCAGAGTGCAACTGCTATCGTTTATGTTTTATGTTTACTGATCATTTTTTTTTTTTTTTTTTTTTTNTTGGGGTAATCTTGCAGACTTATGTCTTGGATGTGCATCCTTTTAACCCAAGAATTGCTATGAGTGCTGGCTATGATGGGAAAACAATATTATGGGATGTGAGTAAATGATTTCCACTTTTCAAAAATTTGCATCTAAGTTTTGTTTGTAATGATCGTTTCTTTATGATGTACTTCTAGATTTGGGAAGGTACTCCTATAAGAGTGTATGAGATTGGTGGGCGCTTTAAGCTGGTCGATGGGAAGTTCTCACAGTAAGTCTTAACGTAATTTGAATGTCAACCCCATCGAATCACATGGGCTCTTCATTCCATTTCCTTTGTCAATAGGGATGGCACATCTATTGTGCTTTCAGATGATGTAGGACAAATATATCTGCTAAATACTGGTGAAGGAGAGTCTCAAAAGGATGCTAAATATGATCAGGTACATGGATGATAATCGGTTTAGATATATTTGATTTTTTCGTACTTGCACAAGATGAATCTGACTGCGTGTTTACGTACGTGTATATTCAACAGTTCTTTCTTGGGGATTACCGCCCGCTTACTCAGGACACGCACGGCAATGTTGTTGATCAGGTGATTTGACCTTTTCTATCTTATCCTTTATTATTTTAATTTTGGACTTGGGAGATAAAATCCAATTCTTACGTAAAATTTGCTTTCTCTAACTAAAATCCAATTCTTACGTTAAATTCTTGTGCTTTCATGTTCTTCACTAGCATCAGCACTTTTTTATCTTGTTATATTTTTTATCTCAACACGTGGCATCTGATGCAGGAGACACAGCTTTCACCATATGTGAGGAATATTCAAGATCCATTATGTGATTCAAGTATGCCATGGCTCTTTTCTCACATTTGATTATTATATCTGCAGTGTTCCATAGTTTCGTTTATTTTTCAACTTTCTCCCAAAGACATCTTTCTAATATTTCGATTACTGTACACTATGTATGGGAATGACAGGCATGCTTCCGTATCCCGAGCCTTACCAGAGTACATATCAGCAACGCCGGTTAGGTGCCCTGGGAATTGAGTGGCGTCCATCTTCCATAAAATTTGCAGTTGGCACTGATATAGGGATGGGCCAAGAGTTTCAAATATTACCTTTGCCAGATTTGGATGTGGTACTTGAGCCACTGCCAGACTATGTCGATGCTATGTATTGGGAACCCGAAAATGATGGCATGAATGATGACAATGACTCCGAGTACAATGCTGCCGAAGAGAATTTTAGCGATGAGCAAACTTGTCTTAGTGACAGCACATCGAGTGATTCGGATTGTAGTGAAGAAGACAAGGTCGCGCGAAATCATAAGGATAGTACACGCCGGTCGAAAAGGAAGAAATCTGTACTCGAAGTAATCTCGATTTCCAATTATATATATATATATATATATATATATATAAATTTTCAAGGTGATTGCATTGTGTATTATTTTTACTCTTTTTTTTTCTCTCGTTTTCCCGTTCCTCCTCCAGGTCGGCATGATGACTTCTTTTGGTAGACGCGTTAAGAAGAGAATATTGGATGGACACGAGGGAACTTCATCGAGGAATAAAAGACATAAAAAGTTAAAAATTACTCACAGGACGTCTAAGCGAAAGTCTACCAAGTCAAAGCCATCAAGAACTCAAAGAATTGCTGCACGTAATGTGATCAACAATATTTCCCAAATAACTGAAACTTCTGAAGGTGAACAAGATGAAGAGGACTCAGCAGGCGAGTCGTCCGACACAGAGTCATCCTTGGAAGAAGGTTCTTCTGTTCAGAGAAAGACACATGAAAATCGACTTGTTGATGATCAAATTCAAAAGACGTATGCAGATGTGGCATTAGTATCTTCAAATGCGTCTGATGATGCAATCAAGCAAATCGGAACTCCCGATTCACAGATCAGCAGAGGGAACAAGAAGAAACTACTGCTCAAAATTCGCCTTAATAATTGTAAGGCACTTGTATCTTCTGAGAATCTCATGGACCAATTGAATAATCAAGCTACATCATCAGGTTTTGGGGCAAATGAAGAAATCCCTGAAAAAGATGGGGTTATTTCTAAATATGGGGATCCATGTTCGTCTTCTGCAATTGGGGCTGATAACGAACCCTCTGAAAATTGTGGCAATGAGTCGAGGGCATTTGCCAGTAGTAGCGATGCCAATGTGAGTTGGGGAAAATCCAAAAGACGCACGTCAATTGTCACGCAGTTCGGAGATGTTGGACGGGCCCCAGCCGAAGGTGAAGATAAATCAACTGAAATCAATCCGATGAACTATGAAGATAAATCAAGTCAAAATAAGCCCAAAACTAAAGTTACCATTAAATTCAAATCAAGCAAGTCCCTAGAGAGCTCTCCTCCCGAACTTCTTGATGAAGCCAATCATATGCCACAATCCCATGTGAGTGATGATGAAACTTGTGACGATGATCCAAGTGTTAGTTTTTCTGACCAAGAGGAAGAAGATGACTCGCCTGACATGGCAACTGATTCTGCTCGTCGAGCTAGATCATTTAGGTTGAAGGCTGCACCAAGGGAGGCTAGTCGAGGGAACTATAAAATTAAAATAGGCTCTGCATATTTACAACCAGGTACATCGAGAAGTGCAGAAAGGTCCTCCAAGAAAGACGTTGATTATTTCCCACCAGAGGGTTCCAGGTATTCTGGAAGATCTAGGTCTTCTAGAAACAAGAGAGAGAATGGGCATAGAAGAGAGAGAAGTTCTTTGGATAAGCACCAAGGGGCTGAAAAAACAAATTGGCTGTTATTGTCAAAGCAGGATATTGGATATCGTTACATACCTCAGCTAGGAGATGAAGTTGTGTACTTGCGGCAGGTAATTTTCTTTTATCCCTTCTCTTAGCATGAACTTTACTCGGTGGAAGGTAAAAAGAAAAAGGAAATGGAAATTAGTTTAATGGTACAATCTACAATCATAAGCTATATCATATTGCAAGAAGTCAAAATTCTTTGTTTTACTGTTTTCAGATTGGAAAAAGAAAAGTAAAACNAAAAAAAAAAAAAAAAAAGGAAAATTAAAAGATGATTGGACTATATTAGCTTTTTAATTAATTAACCCATGCGTCAAAGATTTATGTAATGGATACAAAGACATTTTTATACTTTTCTTTTTCTTTTTTAGGGCAAGAAGTTGATATAGAGCTTAAATTTGCGGTGATTTGTTCCATTGATGATTTATTATCTTGTGAACCGAGAGTGACTGTATGTTCAATATTCTGCAGGGCCATGAGGATTACTTGGAGTTGACTCAGGCACAAGAATCTGGACCATGGGTGAAGCATGGAGATAAGATTAGAGCCGTCGAAGTTTGTTCAGTCGAAAACCTCAAGTACACAACTCAACGTGGCTCTGGCGACAGCTGTTGCCTTATCTCTCTGAAATTCATCGATTCCTCTTGCAGCGTGTTTGGCCGTAAGTTCCAACTGTTATTGCCCGAGCTTGACTTCTCGGATTTCATTGTTGAAAGGAGTAGATATGATGCTGCTATAGAGAGAAAATGGTCAACTCGGGATAAATGCCTCGTGTGGTGGAGGGATGAGAGTGACGAGGGTGGCGCGTGGTGGGAGGGTATAATTACGGCTATTAAAGACAAGAGTGAAAATTTCCCGGGAAGCCCTTGGGAAAGATATCACGTCAAGTACGAAGACGATTATGCTGATTTTCGTTTACATTGCCCTTGGGAACTGCACGATTCAGAAAGGCGAATGGGGCAGCCAACTATCGACTTTAACAGCAAAAAGAAGATTTTAAACGCTCTTACTAAATTAGGGCGGGCTGCGAATAAAGATAAGGTTCTTTCTTTTGCACTTTCCCATTCTAATTAAGTTTTTATGTTTATATGGTTTAGTTTCCATTTTACTAAAATACACTCACAGGATAGTGTATATGTTGGATTGAAAGATTTGATTTGAAGAGAGGATTTCAAATTGGTATATGAAAAGTGGATTTGAAATGACTTCGAATTAAGTTCAAATTTGGTCCTGAGAAATCGAGACCTATTTTCTTAAGATTTGTCCCGTCTATAAAATGGAGCTCTATAGGGTACTTGTAATTTAGGCTGTTGAATATTTTAACAATTAGGCTAATCTATAGACCTTTGGAGGTAGTTTTTATATTATTTTCTAATTATCATTAAGTAATAATAACAAAGGATGCAAAAATCTGATAATGCTGTTGGAATGTGTTCCCGACATTTCAGGATCGATATGGCATCAGAAAACTGCGTGAAGTGGCAGCAAAGTCTGAATTCGTGAACAGGTAGAAAAAAATTTACACGTTTTTTTTTATGGTAGAAAACTGTTGGAATGTTTGTTATTACATATACTTAATGTAATGTTTTTGTTTTTTTTGTTTTTTTTCAGGTTCCCCGTTCCTCTATCTCTGGATATAATCAAGTCGAGGATAGAAAACGATTACTATAGAACAGTTGAGGCCTTTAAACATGATTTTGGGGAAGTTTTAGCAAATGCTAAGACTTATTTTCAGAAAAATGCAGATCTTTTGAGAAAGCTTAACCGGCTCTCCAGCTGGTTTGATGAAACCCTTTCAGACTTGTAATGGAATGCATATTTCTTACATATACCTCGTTCAATTGTGTCAAGAAAACAAGAAAACTGAACCGTTTGCCTCTAATAACATTAGAGGGCCAAACGGACATGAAAATCGAATCATATGTTATGTACAAGAAAGTTTAAACTTGTGTTGTTAGTTTCAAACTTCCACGGTTTGAACTCATGTGACTAACAGAACTAGCCATCTTAGTGTCGTCTCATATATATAGGGAAATATGCGAAAAGACCTTTTTTTTTTTAATTTTATTTTATTTTATTTTTTTATGTTGGTAAAAAGTGGTCACCAATTGATGCTGACACTATATCTCCATATCTAACTGACTTGGACTACAAGAATCTAGTTGCATTTGATGTTTTATTACAGAGCATGAATTGATTTGTGAGTGGCATTTCTTCTCGTGTTTCAACTTCAATTGCAAGCAAACTAATTTCTCTTGTTTTTTTTTTTCTTTTCATTACATTTATTAGCTGTGAAATTTTCTACATTTTCCATCTGTTATTGTGAAGTGAAAGAGAAATACAAAGAGAAATGCACAGATCAGAATGCACAGATCAGGCTCGTAACACGTTATTTTGCCGCTGTTCGTCTCCATATTCATTTTCGAACTCCATGCCATAAATCTGAAATGTATTTAAAAAATAGAAAACCACACAAGTTTGTTATATACTCAAGAAAGGATAATTACAAAACATAATCACAAGATTTTGCTTAATTACAAGAATAGTTACTCAGAAATTATTATTATTATTATTATTATCAACCTGTTGGTGATGCCTGATGCTGTTATGAATTGCAGCTGAAATCCTAGTCAGTATGTACATTGGAAGGATAATGCCACTAGACTTTACTATAATCACCTGCATAAAACAAATAGTTTCTTTTTCCTCAGTAAATAATAAATATTGATTTATTATTGTTAGAAGCAGGCAACAGAAAAATGACAGTTAAAACTTACAGTAAGAAGTGAAAAAGGGTAAGTCTCTTCTCCTATAACAACTCCAAACAAATGTCTGGTGAGAAGTAGAGCAGTTATCTGCAATATCGATAAAAAATTGAAGTTATTGAAAGTTCGTTTCAACTTCGAGTAAATCAAATTTTTGCAAATGCATGAGGCATTTGACCGTCTAGCTTATATAATTAACACAGAATGGTACATATAAAAGCTTTTATTCAAAATCAAGTTGAAATCCCGCCTCAAGCTTTTTCTATTTTAGTTTTACATATAAAAAGCACAATACAGACTGTCACAATTTATAGAAATCACTTGAATTCAATATGAAACCAGAAAAATTGGCTCATATATTCATATACAATAGTGGAAAATTTCACACATTTATGAGCTAATAATGCAACTGTCAACTATGCACCATACAATTTCTAATTATGTTATGGAATGGTTTACATTTTCTTTTAAAGTTTGACAAAGAATATTTATTGAAAAAAATATGATTTTCTAATTGTTAGGCATGACAAAAGTTAGAAGACTTACTATTAATGCCACCAGCCTACAACAAGAAGCACTTTTATTCGCTTCATATGCACATTCAGACTCATAATCCTCTGTTTCAAAAACTTGTCCTATATTTTCTTGCTCTTGTTCATCTCTTGTCACTCCCAAACTTTCCCTGTCAAGAAAAAATAATCCCAATTCCATATTTTAATAATCTACTTCCATATTCTTAAATAGTTAATTTTTTTGTTCATAGGGAAATTGCAGAGTTTGGATAAATATGAGTATTATTTGTCATTAATTGGAAAATTTCTAAGAAGAATCAAATATCTGTTGGGTTTTTGCCATTCTCAAAAGTCAGAATAAAAGTATGTTGTTACCAAGTCATATTTTTTCAACAAATATACACACTTTTGAATTGAAATTTTATATTTTAAAAAACGTATATACAAAGGTATTGCATTTGTATGTACTTTTGTTTAAAAAAAAAAAGAATTTGCACTGGAGAAAAAGATTGGATGAACTATCATGAGGAACAAGAACTCCCAAAAGGAGCTATTTTACAGGGTTAAGCTTTAATAATTGCAAATATTCTGACTTTAAAAAACAAATCAAAATAGGAGAAAGAAAAAAGGAACAAATCATGAGTACCTTATGGAAACAGCTGTATCAATTTGATTGNAGAGATAGGTAAATTTCAAGAATTTATAATGGTAGCACTAAAGATAACAACATTCGATTAAATTTGAAGAGTCGTGCTACACTTACCAGATTGATTTACATATAGAAATAAAAAAAGATTGATTTACATATTGAATTAAAATAAAAATAAAAAAGCAAACGACAAGCATCCGTTACGTTTCTCATTATAATATTAATAATAATAATAGTATTAGATCATATCAAAATATACTTCGCAAATCAATTGGTAAATCAATCAGACAAAATAGGTTAATCCAAAATTTTCTTTTCTCTCAAAATTATTCAATCTTTTTAAAAGACATGGTGATTTAAAAATCAGGTGGATTACTTAAGAATATACTTAGATTATAGTAAAACTTTTCCATATACATTTGCAGATAAGAACTTTAGTTTGGACCATTTTTTACGCTCTAAGCTATAAAGATGAGAACAAATTCTTTCACTTCAAAAATAAATACATTATCAGAAAATTGAAAAAAAAAAATAAAAAATAAAAACCCAAATTGAGTGGTGATAATCAATTTCAAAAAAATGTAAGCACCTGTAAGCAAATTTCACAAGTTGTATTGCCCTTTTCATAGCACCATCTCTGTACACAGTCTCTGTGTGCAAACTGAAAATAAAAAAACCCAATCAAAATACAGCAAATGATCAAATGATGTTTACGAGTCGGTAACCTTTTTTCATTAACTTATATAAATATAGTTTTGAAAAAAGAAAAATAAAAAATCGTACCTTGAGAGTACCCGAACAAGCGCAAGGGGCCTCAAAGCTTTTAGAGCTTTCAAACTCTTCTTCATGGCAAATTCTGCAAATGAACACTTCATAATCATCTATGAATAAAACTGTTTCACTCATTATTTTATCCAAAACCTAAAATTGTAATAAAAAAGTTGTTTTTCAGCTGTTTTTGCAGTTACTCTTGTAAGAGAGAGTACTTATTTTCTATTTGTTCTGTTTTTGGGAGTCTTGGGCTAAGTTTTAAATGGGAGAAAAAGGATGTTGAAATACCTAATATGCCCTTGTTTTAATTTGTTTGACTAATAATGTGCCACACGCGCACTAACACTAAACTGTGGATTACACTTTGACTTCATTAATGCAATTTAACATTAATGATTTATGGATATCTGTTATGCCAAAGTTTTGATCAAACTAATTAATTGTATTTTTAGAATCAAATTATGTAGTTTGGTTTTGTAGCTGAACGGTGACCGAATTATGTCCAAGAGTTGACTTGTTCAATATACAAAACTCAAAACATAATTTTTATATTAAATTATTTTAACCATTAGGCGAGTTGTCCTATTAATTTTTTTATTAATAAAAATATACATTATTTTGCTAAAAAATTATCCTCCTTTTGTTTTCTAGCGTGTGACTTTCGGATTAAAAGTATACATATTTCTTGAAAAAATTTGGGTGTCTAACCGTTAAATGTGTTCTAATAAATGTAGTAATATTTTATAGTGTTAAGAAGTTTGATTCACCCATGTTTTTAATTATAATTTATGTATAACTTGGTATACAATGTTTTGATAAAAAATGCTAATCCAGAATTAATGTTATTAAAAGTTTTGTAAATAAATAATTTAGAAAAATTAACTAGTATTTAGTTTTGTTTAGGCTGACGTGGCCCTATTGAAGCTCCTCTCAGCCCCCACCGAAAAAGCAATTGACACCACAAATTGTGATTTTTGAGATAATGATATAATTAATAGCTAACTTTGGAGAGTTCAATTAAACATTAATTATGGATGTCACCCTTTACACAAGTTGATGGTTTAAGTAAATTAGACCTAAATATATAAACAAACAAGTCAACAGAAGTAAAAAAGAAGCAATTCTAAAACAATAGTAATAGTAAGTATTAACATAGCTCTTGTATTGAAGCAAAATATTAAAATTTTCAACTGAAATCAATATTTTGAACAATAATTTTAACCCTACAATACTAAACAAAATACAACAAAAACTAAAACAACAACATAAAATACATTCGCATTTGACACAAGACATGGTAATAATAATAATAATAATAATAATAATAAATCAAGAGATGAAAAGATGGCTTCAAGTTCAAAGTTTTATTAACTTAGGGGCAAGTATTTATTACTATTTTATCCAAACCATCTCTAAAATGAAACCTCTTGCTTCTCATGAAAGTGCATAATAACAACCTTTACTAGAATTAATTAAAATTTCACATATTACTTATAAAATGTTCAAACTCCATTAAATCCCTTAATTAATCGTTTTTTTTTCATGTAAATAATTGTGATCACCTATATTCCAATTTTAAAGGAAAAAAAAGCCCCATCATTTAGGAACGTTAAAATATTGCTAATCTAGTCCATAGGGAGTGAAGCAATCATTGGTAAGATAGAATCATAGACAAAGCAAATTTAGTTTTGCTAACTATTATTAAATTTTATTCAATTGCTTTGCGTGGCTGCATGTGTTGAAGATGAGGTGCATTCGACATTTTGATCGCCGATTAATGGCGGGCCCCTATTTCCACTTGTATGCCCTCTGGCCGCCTCAAGCCCAAATGGATTTGTGGGCCCAAATGAAGCCCACCAATAGCCCTTTCAATTATTTTAATGTTATTATAATTATTTTATTTTAGTTTTTTGTTTGTTGGAAGGTAATTACCCGCTCCTTGGACTAGAATGCAAGTCTTAGGACAAGAAACTTTTTCCCATATTTTCAATGCATACAAATAAAAAAATATATATAGGAAAAAAATAGTGTCACGAATAACTTGACTAAATATATTCATGTTTCTATAATCAAATCCGTTCCCCAAATGAATCGTAAGGGAAGAGAGTTGAAAAAAAAACATGTGAAGTTATGGATTCTCCCCGTTGATTTATTTTTTATTTTTTAAATGATATAAGATACAATTTTGGTTAGTCCCCAAACTAGTTATAAATTGTTATACCTAAATGCCTATGAGAATTTAGGAATATATCACCATAAATTAATTTCTTTAATATAAATATATCTTTTCAATAGCGTGGTTTATAGAAATTCTATATGA